TATTAAATCTCGGTATATCTATAGACTAGCTGGCCCCAGCGACTTCATCCGCGTGAAATTTTATTTTATTTTTCTAAAATAACAGTAGCGTAAGTTACCCCTTATTTCATCAGCTACTTGCCAAAAAAAGTCCCGTCAAAATCGGTCCAGCTATTTCAGAGATTAGCCGGAACAAACAGACAGACAGACAGACAAAACTTGTAAAATATGTTATTTTGGTGTATACCGTATTTATATTCATATGCAAGTAGTAAAAACGGTTATTTCAATATTGCAAACAGACACTCCAATTTTATTTACATGTATAGATGTATAGATTAAAAAAAAAGTAACAGTCATAAGGCTAGTCGTATGCCTAATATATATAATAATGTAATACTCCGAGTTCGAATCCTACACTTTTTTTTTTATTATTTATTTTTTTGGTTTTTTTTTTATTTTGTATTTTAATAATTAATTTATGATTATATACGATTATGAATTTATAATAAAAACGTAGTTAAGTATTAAATTAATTTTACTAGTTAGGAGTGTACCTGTGTACCAACTTACCACACAGACACCCCGGGTTCGATTCCCACCATTGACTATTGTTATTTACTTCTTTTTGTTTTTTTTTAATTTAATATTTTAATAATTACATTAATTTATACGAGAAAAACGTAGTTAAGTATTAAATTAATTTTACTAGTTAGGAGTGTACCTGTGTACCAATTTACCACACAGACATCCCGGGTTCGATTCCCACCATTGACTATTGTTATTTACTTCTTTTTGTTTTTTTTTTAATTTAATATTTTAATAATTAAATTAATTTATACGAGAAAAACGTAGTTAAGTATTAAATTAATTTTACTAGTTAGGAGTGTACCTGTGTACCAACTTACACACAGACACCCCGGGTTCGATTCCCACCATTGACTTTTTTTTTGTTTTTTTTTTTAAAGTAATATTTAAAATTAACTATTTTAATAATTAAATGAATTTAATCGATAAAAACGTTGTTTAATATTAAATAAATTTTAAGTGACATTAACTATTATAGCATGCACAAAAAATATTTTGTAATAATAAAGAAAATACATTTGAAATGTTGTTGTGTTAATTATTTATAAGATCTTACTATAATTGTTAGCTGCTTTACAATTCAGAAAGTATAATAGTTAATGTAAATTAAAATTAATTTAATACTTGACAACTTTTTGTTCGATTAAATTCATTTAATTATTAAAATAGTTAATTTAAAATATAACATAAAGTCAAAACAAAAAAAATTCTATGGCGGGAATCGAACCTTGAGCGTCCGTTTGGTAAGTTGATTTGAAATTCAAAGGCTTATTTCTTCGAAATTACTGGTCATTTTGTAATAATACTTAGGGTTCGCATACCCTTATCGGATACTACTACTACACGGAGTTTCGTCAAAATAAAATATCTAGGTTAGGTATAATAAATTCATAATTAATAGACCGTTACGGTATCTGTATATATTCGGATCAAAACAAGTACTATGAAATAAGAACGAGTATATAAATTGATTAACACAAGTAATTGATTTTTGAAATATATTCAGAGCCAAAAAGTCTTCTTTCTTTATTTATGTACTTGTTAGATGCGACAGCGACTTTGTTTTATACTATACTATACTATGTAATGATTGATATACCTAAAATAAATAAAATATCTGAGGTTTGGACAAAAACTCAAAGGGTAATTTATTTTGAAAAAGTATTTTGAAAATACCTATTTTGCTTTTAGGGTTATAGTACTTTAACTGTTATGTTTTAAGTAACAATGTTTAATTATAATTAATACTACTGCACCAACACTCCGATCGTGCAAAAAAATTTGCTGTTTCATTATTTTTTAGTTCAATTAGTGGTCTACCTAAGTCCTGGGCTAAGGGGGGGAGAGTCATGACGCCCCCATGACTCCCATGACCTCCATGACGCTCCCCCTGGATCCGCCGTTGCGTCTTCTCTTTATTCGCTCAGTAACGTTGTTACAAAAGAAAAGATTCCCGTCCAAAAAATAACAAGTATTGAGGTTTGATCTGGAGTCACGTTACTCCAGACAGATTTCTATAAATATTTAGATTAGATAGACTATTATTCTTGAAATACTAGCTAGACATTATTAAGTTACTGTAGCCATAATGTAGTAGCCCAAACGTGCCAATGAGGAAGCCCTTGGCAAATGCTGCACCCTGATTGGCCCGTTTGAATTGGATCAAGAACTGCTCGTATGCCAAAAAGGTGGATTTGTATAAAATCGTGTATAAATCGCGTAATTATTATTATTACTCGTCGTGACAGTTGTGGCTCAAAACGGATCAACATTTATATATGGTCAGCTGGCATTAGATCAACAAAAGGCCTCCGGATCAACAAGTGAAAAAGGATCAACAAAAAACTACCTATACGGCACGTCTGAGCCACAAAGTGCCCAAGGGGATATTTTATATATATATATATATATATATATATATATATAACATCTTATGTATCAAAATTACAGATAGGCTATATTTTATATTGAATTTCAAGGCGGATAAAACCGTGGGCACACCTAGTAATATTATAAACGCGGAAGTCTAATGAATGAATGGAACTCTTTCACCCAAAAATGAATGAATGGATTTCAATGAAACTTTACAGTAATATATCTTATGCATCAGAATAACACCTAGGCTATATAATTTTCGGACTACTCTAATGCTGTTGACCGCAGCTGGCCTTTACAGCTTCACCGGATGATAGGTGGCGAGTGCAGATGGCACTCCAAACCCGCGGTAGGACTTATGGAGCGGCTGAAGGTATCCCGCCTTATTTTAGGTAAATACCTTTTTTTACCAAAATCTTATATATAAAATTCTAATGTCCCAATGTTAGTTACCATACACCTCCCAAACGGCTTGATCGATTTTTATGAAATTTTATATGCATATTTAGTAGGTCTGAGAATCGGCCACTATCTATTTTTCATACCCCTAAGAGATATCCACCCCTAAATATATATTTTTTATTTTTTCGACATAATATTTTATTTTCATTTTATTATTATTTAGGATTGATAAATACATACAACCCTAAATTTTCACCCTTCTAGCATGAACCCCAATTTTTTAATAGCGATTTTAATTTGTATGATAATATCTAGTAATATGTAAACACAAGAGTAAAAAAAGATTCGTTGCTTTCATTACAACGTTGGCTGTGAGAGTTTTCTCACAGCTGTATGTCTGTCTTTTGTTTAGAAGATTTATATTTAGAACCATTCACAAACTGTCTTATTTAATTATATACATATAATCTCAGGACAATTCACACAGCGCCATCTAGACCCAAGTTATGTTATGGGTACTAGATTACTGATACAAATACATCGATTTTTTTTTCGTAAATACATACATATTATAAATAGAAAATACCCAGACCGATCCAAACAATCATACTCATGAATACAAATGTTTGTGCCGTGCGAGGAATAGAACCCGCGATCATTGGACGTAAAGCGGTGTACTAGACCGCTAGACCACTGAGGTCGTCAAAGTTTTTGAATGATATATTTTTATATATAGGTATATATCTATACTAATATTACAAAACTGAAGAGTTTGTTTGTTGTTTGAACGCGCTAATCTCAGGAACTACTGGTTCGAATTGAAAAATTATTTTTGTGTTGGATATTCCATTTGTCGAGGAAGACTTTAAGCTATATAACATTATTCTACGACCAATAGAATCGAAACATTTGTGAAAAATGTTGCAAAAACGGGGACAAGTTACCCAAAAAATATGTATGAAGTGTTTTTGACAACCATGCAAACGTTCGCAGGCACAGCTAGTATATATATAAGAAATTATATGTATATAAAAAAACAAATAAAAGCAGATGTTATAATATCTTTATCATTTAGAATCCGAGTCGATATTCCGAATTCCCACTCCAATAGTATCGAGTCTAATATCGAGTCTAGTAAATCGCTACTTGGCCCAGAGAGGCGAGTTTATCTGAATGTCTAGATCTATTATGCAGGTTAACCCTTTGCAGCTCAGTCCCGCAGGCAGCTCTAGAATCAATTCACTGGCACACAATTACCTAGGAATTGTACGTATATTTACATTAGTTCCGGATCAGATATATACTAGTACGGAGTACGGTCAGCGCAGAATATATATAATAATAACTTCTCAGTATAATTCACACAGCGCCCTCTAATCTCACGCTAAGCAGAGCTTGTGTTACTCGATAACTAATATATATACATGGATATATAATCGCTTTAGCGATAAGACCGCCTTTTGTACCTAGCCTACCTTTCTGTATACTATGAATATTGTTTTTGTTTTTTATTTTTTTAAGGTGCAATAAAGAGTTATAAACAAATAAATAAAATAAAAACATTTTTTGTTGTGAATTAATCTTAATATAATAAGATAAACGCGAAAGTTTGTGAGTATGGATGTTTGTTACTCTTTCTCGCAAATTTTATTTTTATTTTCTGGAAATATTTTTCTTTTTTTTATTATATTGCATTAAAAAATACATACACCCCTAAATTTTCTCCCTTCTATCAACAATCCCTATTTTTAATAGCGATATAAGTACTTCAAAACCGGTGGCTCCTTCAGCTGGATGCGACGAGCGATGAGCTGAAAGCTCGATCACCTGCGGCCATCAGCTGTAATTATCTGAATGGTGAAATGCACACAATGTGCGAGATTTTTATAAACAAAATTGGCTACAAAAGCCCATGCGAGCACATCAACGGCAAAACCGGAGTCGAACCAAAGACTTACCGTGGCCGAAATCGGCCGCGATTACATCAGACATCAATAGTACTTACTTTTATACACAATAACGGTTACTGCGACAGCTAGTCTCTTATAAAATCGATTGTAGAGATAATGTTATCATGGTACTGATTAATTATCCATATTTATTATAGATAATTGTTTGTATGGTAGGGAGACGTCAATACAGTTATCATAGTCGCCACACAGTTCCGAGTGTTAGTGATCATGTATTTTATTTCATTATAACGAAAAAAGACATTTTTTTACAATGAAAGGCGCTAAAATTATTATGCAAATAAAAAAAAGACCAGTAATATGGAACAGGAGTTATCCTACGCACAGTAATAAGCAGATGGTTGCTGCTGCATGGCGGGCTATCAAGAAAGTGTTGAAAATAAGTGGTATATATTTTTTACTAACTGAATCCGCGTGGAATTTAACTTTATTTCTCTAAAATAAAAGTAGCCTAAGTTACACTTTATTACATCAGCTACCTGTCAAAAAAGTCCTGTTAAAATCGGTCCAGCCATTTCAGAGATTAGCCGGAACAAACAGAACGACAGACAGACAGACAAAAGTTTTAAAAAGTGTTTTTTTGATATATGTGCCGTATTTCTATTCATATGCATGTAGTAAAAAACGGTTATTTCAATACTACAAACAGACACTCCAATTTTATTTGTATATAATAATATATAGATGTAGATGTATAGATATTTATCATCTGGTTCTTCCTTATCGACTTCCTTGGGGTCAACATATAAATGCATAAAAACAGCATCCTCGCCCAAATCGACTATAAATGGCCCAACGTGTTCATTAAGGATTTCTTCCGCATATCTTACGCTAATTAAAAAGCCGTTTTCTATGAACCGAGTTCTGTACGACTCTCAGATGAAATTCCGGCCCACACAAGTACAGATCCACCACCGCAGTACTTTGTCTTTCAAGACGATCTTTCCCCTGCTTTTCTATATACCTTGTGTCTTCCACCCTGCTTGTAGAGCATACATTTTAATTAGTCGGAGAACATACTTTTGCCCAATATTCAATATCATCTGCTTCTTCCTTATCCCACTTATTTGTGGTCGGCGTAATGTTTTCTCTTCCATTCATCTCTGTTCGCAGTCATCTCGTTATTTACTCCCTTTCTTACCATCTTTCGCACAGTCCATCCATCTCTTTTTCGGCCTTCCTCTACCCTTATAATCATCCACATATTTTTTTATATTATTGATATTTATTAAGTCATGATTACATATATAAAAATACATTTTAATAACAGAATATAATGTGGGTTGACATGATACGGGTCATCCGGGCCCTTAAGAGGCGTGAAGGTTGGGGCACGACCCTTTCAACGTAAGTCAAGGTAGTAAACCATTAGGTTACTATTTTTTATTACATTTAATTTTATATTAGCAATACGTCCAGCGGGAGTATTATGAACTATTATTCCCATTCAGTTTACGGCTTAACCTGAACTGGAAACTGACTGGATTTTAAAGAGTTCATAATATGCACCCAGGCTTTGCACTGGCTTGCATTTCTCGACGTTTCTGTACTATAATATGCATGTAATAAGCTTACATGTCCTTCTTCTTGAATCACTGTTGAAAACTGCATTAAAAGTCAGAACAAACAATCAGCGGGGACGACATTCTGTTATAATTTACTAGCGACTCATCCCAGCTTCGCACGGATGCATTACAAATCTTTATATATCTCGGCTTGTTCTATACTATAACACGCACGTATTATATATATAACACAAAACATCCTCTTGAATCACTCTATCTATTACTGAAAATTGCATTAAAATCCGTTGCGTAATTTAAAAGATATACGCGAACAGTCAGTGGCGGCGACTGTGTTTTATACTATTCTGGCTACTCGCTCCGGCTTCACCCGGGTGTACATGTATTATATATATATATAAACCTTCCTCTAGAATCACTCTATCTATTAAAGGAAACTGCTTCAAAATCCGTTGCGTAGTTTTAAAGATTTAAGATTCATAGGGACGGTCAGACAGCGACAGCGACTATATTTTATACTATGTAGTGATAAAGATTTTAAAGATTATTTTTTATTCCAGTTAAAAAGTTAAAAGAAGAGTGGAAAGACATGAATGAAAAACATCTGCAGGAACTAATTAAAGAGATTAAATATAAAGCAAAATGTGGTAGAAAAAGAGATTCCAAATGGGCAAATTATAAACTCATGGATTTCATGAAGAAAGAACTTCTACCTAGAACTTGTACATGTCAACAGAAAAAAAGAGCTATCGCGAAAAAGAGGAACAATACAAAAATGGTCCGTAGGAAGGAAGTGACGACTACAGTACGTCATAGGGAGAAGGAAGAATACAGTTAGGATTCAGATTACTGATGAATATTAAACAGGAAACGCCCTCCATCTTAAAATCAGCACTGACTTTCTTTTGGTATATTTACTTTACTCTTTGGCACTGACATCCTGCGGCAGCGAGTGGAGGATCTTTCAGTTTATAGAGTGAATATTAGATTTAAGTACTATATTTTTCACTCTCTGTATTTTATTATGCCGGTTACATGATTATTATTATAGTTTCTCTCCATTTTCACAGCTTTTCTTTGTTTATATGTGTGATGAGTGTGTGTGTATTTAAGGGTGAATGTAAGAAAAAAAGACCTTGTGTGAAATTATATACTTTAACTAACTATGCATACTGTTATATGCAACAGCGGATCCAGGGGGAGGTCATGGGGGTCATGACCCCCTGAGCTGGTTCCAGGACTTAGGTGGACCACTAATTGAGTCAATATTTTATTAATTATATTTAAATAGTGCTTCTCTGAATGTCTTCAAGAGAAGGTGGCGATATGTACGTATATATGTACAAGTTATTATGTGTTAAGTGTACAATAAAGAATAAATATTTTTAAGTACAGTACTTACGTACATTAATAAAATACCTACTTTTTACTTGTAGCTATTGTTATCAAAATTAAATTATAAGTTCTTGACTTGACCACGACTATGTGACCCCCTCCTGGCGCCAAAGCTGGATCTGCCCTTAGTTGTATGTTGGCTAAATATTAGTATAAGGTATTATTACGCTGTTTATAATGAACTAAGTGTAACCATTCAGTTGCTAATATAAACATTAGATATAGTATAATATTACCATGACATTGTGTTAATAGTTAGACATAAGTAAACGTTCAAGCAGACACTGTTTTTAACAACATACTTTAATAACTTTGCACGAATGTATATGTACATATAATACATGTACAACCGTGCCAAGCCGGGGCGGGTAGTTTGGTATAAATATATGTAAGTATACAAATTTGACAAAATTCAAATTCAAAATTCAAAATATCTTTATTCATGTAGGTCTATTACAGACTGATATGATATGTCAAATCTACCGTCAGTTCGGAATGATTTCGAGATGAGAAGAACAGACAATAAACTCAACTCGTATTTTTTAAATGTTTAATTAATTTAAAATAATACTATTTCATTTAAATTCAAATTTGGGTGTATAGAGTGACCACCAGCGTATGCTATATAAAAAAAAGACAATACATAAGATACACACATAATAACATAAGTAGATGGTTTTTATATAAAACTAGTGGAGTAACTTAAAACATTTGGAGACGTCATCTGTTGTTGACAAATTAAAGAACAAAAAAAAACTTCCTAATTTCTATAGTAGTTTTTACTTAAAACCTTAACACTAATAGACAAACAGACAGTCTTCTCCTGGTCACGATATTATCTTATATGTATATAAAAGTCTCGTGTCACAATGTTAGTTACCATACTCCTCCGAAACGGCTTGACCGATGTTTATGAAATTTTATATGCGTATTCAGTAGGTCTGAGAATCGGCTACTATCTATTTTTCATACCCCTAAGTAATAAGGGTTGTCCACCCCTACTATTTATTTTTTATTTTTGAAGAAAATTTATTATATATATATTTTATAAAGTGCATTATAAAATACATACAACCCTAAATTTTCAGATAAGGAAAAATTGTCAAGACCAGATCTTGCTTTCCATGGTCGCAGGTTCGATTCCTCGCACGGCATAAAGATTCGTATTCATGAGTATGATTGTTTGTATCAGTTTGGGTGTTTTCTATGTATATTACGTATGCATTTGTAAGAAAAAAGTATCTATTTATTTCTATCAATTGTCTAATACCCATAACACAAACTCTGCTTAGCTTGGGACTAGATGGCACTGTGTGAATTGTCTGAAATGTAAAAATATAGAAAATACTTAAATGTATAATTAAATCAATCACTCAGAAATGCCCTCACTGGATTTCCAGTGTGTGCACTTGATCGTGTTTTAAATAACGTGTATATACTACACGTTATTTAAAACACGATCATCTTTATTAGGTCATTTTAAGATCATTTTAAGGCATCTTTATTATTTAGTATCCAGAGCGATATCTCTCGTCCGTCCAATATCAGAAATCGTTGTTAGTTTGGCCCAGGGAGGCGAGTTTATCTGAATGTCTAGATCTATTATGCAGGTTAACCCTTTGCAGCTCAGTCCCGCAGGCAGCTCTAGAATCAATTCACTGGCGCACAATTACCTAGGAATTGTACGTATATTTACATTAGTTCCGGATCAGATATATACTAGTACAGAGTACGGTCAGCAAGTGAGGAGATCCGCAGAAAAACTAGAGTGACCGACATAGCCCGAAGAATTGCGTAACTTAAGTGTCAATGGGCAAAGCACATAGCTCGTAGGACAGATGGCTGTTCGGGCAGAAAAGTCCTCAAATGGCGATCACCAACCGGAAGTCGCAGCATGGGAAGGTTTCCAGCAAGGTGGATTGACAATCTGGTGAAGATTTCTCGAAAGCGTTGGATGCGAGCAGCGCAGGACCTATCGTCGTGGAAATCTTTGGGGGTGGCCTATGTTCAGCAGTGGACGTCTCCCGGGCTGATGATGATGATGATGTTTTATATATAAGAAACGAACATCAAGATCTGTGTTGACAACGGTACACTGTTCAATTAGAGCAAACACACTCGTAGGTACGGCCCGATGGCCTATCTGTCTGTCCCTTATTGCTGATCTCTGAAACGTCTGGACCGATTTTGTCGAGACTTTCACTTCGATAGCTAATGTCATATGGAGAAAGTTAGACTATATTAATTTCAGAAATTAATTATTTATTCTAATTTCTCGCGAACGGTTGAAATGGTAATCACAGCTGGTAATAAATAAGAAGTTAACATAAAGATCTGTGTTGTTATAGATACAGAACGTCAATTAGAGCAAACGCTCATGTAAGTACGGCCTGATAGCCGCCCGAATATAATCATAGCTAATAGAATAGAATAGAAAATCATTTACTTCAACAAACTTACATTGAAGCACTTTTGAATAGTCATCACATTTTTTATTAATCTACCGCTCATTCGAAAAGCTGTCTCATCACAAGAAGAATGAACAAGAAACTTTCGTGTTGCTTTTAAATAACTTTGTTGCTAATGACATAAGGAGAAACTTAGACTACATTAATTTTTGAAGTTACATTGTTTTTTATTCCAGGTGCAAAAGACGTGGCTAAAAACGCGACATAAATAAATTCAAATTCAAAAATCATTTATTCACGTAGGACATTTTAGCCGCTTATGAACGTCAAATTTTTACATTATAATTTTATTTTTTCCCTACCGTCAAATTCGGTATATAGATCCAATTGAGAAGAACTGGCAAGAAACTCAATTGAATTACTTTTTTTTTAAAAGCCAGTTTATTTACAATGTATTTTTATATAGGTGTCTATGTCTAACATTAAATGAAAATTCAGTGCATGAACAACTATTGCCATGCACACTCGTCGTTTAGTGAGTAATAGGCTTTGCTCAGTAAATATGATTTAACAGATGTATTGAATTTATTTAAGGGTAATTCCAACATATACTTTGGTATCTTATTGTAAATTTTTATACCTATTCCCATAAAAGACCTATTAACTTTTTCTAAACGATACTTGGGGACAGCAAGTTTGTCTTTAAATCTAGTATTAATATTATGAATATTGCTGTTTTTTGGAAATAAGTCAAGATTTTTATGAACATACAGGGCATTTGAATATATAAATTGAGAAGCAACGGTGAGAATATTTGCCTCTTATAATAAGAAATGAACATAAAGATCTGTGTTGCCAACGGTACACAGTGTCAATTAGAGCAAACGCTCACGTAGGTACAGCCCGATGGTCGGCGCATCAATCTACATCAACCTGTATTGACTCCGGGACTCCGGCCGGATTTGATAACCGGCACGGTATCACGAAATCGGAGCAAAGCCTGAATTCTAGGTGGTTCTTATTGTTTGTCAAGTCAGCTTTATTCATACGTAATATTATCTGTGCTCTCACACGGAAGTAGACTTTGTATAAAGCACCTCTGTTACTATTGTCGTTACTATTAGGGCCTTATATATGAAACTGGCGTTTTGTAAGGGAGTAACCTAAAGTCGATTTTTTCAAAATCCTTACTTCCTTACTAACAGGGATGTTTTAGATATGAAATTTCGGATACGGATAGGTTTCGGATTTAGGAATGATTATTATACCGGATGAAATTATTTCGGATTATCCGTTAGTTTCGGATAATTTCAGTTACGGATATTAATTTTTTAAGGAATTTCAAAAGTAAAACACAAATAGCTAAAAAAATTGTTACATAACGTGTCTCAATTAGACTCCGTCCCTATCCGATATTATCCGAAACTTTTATTTCGGATTCGGTTACGGTTACGAATATTTTATTATATCGGATATCCGGTAGTTTCGGTTACAGTTACGGAGTACCCTAACATCCCTGCTTACTAATATTATAAATGCGAAAGTAACTCTGTCTGTCTGTCTGTCTCGCTTACACATCAAAACTACTGAACCGATTTAAATAAAATTTGGTACATAGACTAGACCCTGAGAAAGGACATAGGCTTTTTAATGCGAAAAAAGGGTTGTAAGGGGTTGAAATTGGGGACGAAAGATTGTATGGAAGAATCGTCATTTTGGTGCAAGAAGATTGAAACTTATTTTTGAGGCTACTAATTAAATATAACAAACAAAGTTTTTAAAAATTTTACCCTTAAGGGGGTTGAATAAATAGGGGATCATTTTTTTATATAAATTCGACATTGTTGAAGCTAGAAGCTTGAAACTTATTTTTGAGGCTGCACTTTCCATAGGTAGTCCCTTTACTAAAAAAAACCATTCGGACGGAAATCAAGAAAATCTTTAAAGGCGCTTTGGACTGTCCCTTCGGAATTGATTTTTTTCCTTGCAAGACGTTATCCAAATTTCGAAACTAATTTCATATGTAAGGACCTAATATTTTACTTTTTTGCAACAGTGAAATGTGTTTAGACTGAAGGGCAGTTTTAGATTGTTTTATATTGATAAGTTATAATGGGGCGCGTAACCACAACAATTTATGTATGTATATACAAGATTAACTTTTTATTATGTAAATAAATAATAATATAATATGCTGATAACGACCTCGGTGGTCCAGTGGTCAAGCACACCGCGTTACGACCGATGGTCGCGGGTTCGATTCCTCGCAACGCACAAACATTTGTATTCATGAGTATGATTGTTTGTATCTGTCTGAATGTTTGCTATGTGCATTATATATTTACAAAAAAAAAGTATGTAAATATTTGTTGTCAGTTGTATAGTACCCATAACACAAGCTCTGCTTACCGTAAGACTAGATGGCGCTGTATTCATTGCTCAGAGTAATTTATCTATAGCTCATTTCTTGTGGTGAATCTGCGTTCCGAATGAGTGGTAAAATAAAAATATGACTATTCAAAAGTGCTTGTATTGAGTTTATTTGAATAAATATTATTTCTATTTCTAAAAGAATCGTATTGTTGTTCTGAATTACTAGACTCAATACTAAAAGTATATAATTTTGTAGAAATAATCAATTCATTTCAAATGCACATCATGTTTCTTCATTGGAATTTACCTGTTCTCTTGAGTTTTACAGTAATGAAAACTCATTCCACGTGCCTAATGCAATGGCTGAACCCTTGTAATTTATTGGCTCGATTAATTTAAA